ATCATCCCATTTGTCACAAACGTAGCTGCGTTCGTACTCTTTTCCAAAGAGTTGAAACACTGCAGTACACAGAGGGGCAGGACCACCAGCATACTCTACCGTTGGGACGGAACAGAACACCAATTGCCATCAAGCTTTGCCAAAATCCACACAGAAAGCCAAGCATCGAACGGAGCAAAGTCGATCGGCACATGGCCAACTCGTACAGCCGCATCTTTAAATTTGCTGATTGATAAAGCCAGTATACGCTTCGACGAAGGACAGCCTGCCCAGCTGTCCGAAACGCCAGCAATCCACAAAAAAATATTACTTTGAGAAAAACATGAATTATAACAAACAACCCGTTTTGGCCCGTAATATTCAGTAGCATAGGAAGATGCCTGGATAAAATGAAAGTGCAGAGTTAATCCACACCATCTGCTTCATTTGCCGTTTGCTTGTTCTGCTTTACGGAGAGCACTTTGGGACTTAAGATTCGAAATTCCAGGCCCGATGGCTTATCCCAACACACTCACTTGTGCAGTTATACAGGTAAGTAGACATTGGAAGTCAAAGAGAAGCTTGCTTACAAACCAGGCAGAGTGAGATGCTGAAGAGATGGGAGAGCAAATAGAAAACAGTATCTATGTGAGGGGACGCAATTTTGTCCTCGAGCACTTACTGCCATCATCAGAAGATCCTGTCAAACTAGCTGACCAGGTCAAAACTGATTACTTTTCTGACAAACTGTAGAACGTTCAGTCCGACGCGATGAAATCGGGTTGCCTACCCCAGCTTCCCGACTAGTCTAAAAAACGACATGTTTATCGGCAGAGAAGCAAGACCAAAGGTGAAACGCACAACTGTTCCTGCCTACGTGAAGATTATAAGACGATTTTCGTACTGTTGCATAAAAATAGGAGCAAAAATCGGCTGGAAAACCCGAAATGACGGGGACTTGGTTGTCCGTGCAGTTGTTGACAAACTTTGCTGACAAAAACACAAAAAAGAAGGCTCCTTCGAACATTTTGTACAGTCTTCCGTTTCAGTCTTTAAGCTGTGTTTAGCAGCCAGCGACTTTACCCCGGACGAATAGGTGGGAATACAAAAAGAGTGGTAAGGATAACTTATATGATCCCGTAATCAAAGCATGGGAAAAGGAGTCGCGCACAAGATAGATGTCCTTGCGTCAAATTTCTGGAAATATTATGGTTGAGTTTGGGCAATGCTCAGGTTTAGGGTTAGAATTAGTCCTAGAGGCTACAATTCGGGGTATGCTAGGACCCATTATTCTTTAGAATCGCATTTTGATGTTTTTCTCTCTACCACAGTCTTTAAGCGCGCGTCCGTTTTAATTTATGTTTGCATTTAACTGTTAATTTGAGCTTTTAGTGACTCTCGGCAGGTCCGACTCATAGGTCCCTGATAGCGTGAAGTTAGCATATAGTCGTGACTTATTATTAAATGAGCTTTATCTGCTTCTGCATCTGATGATTGCTTCCTGCGGACGAAATTCATTTTTGTTCCGGCTGTGGTTTCACCTTTTTCGATATTGGTAGGAAATTTCCAGGGAGTAAAGTAGCTGGTCCCGTGACCTAGTTCCCACAAAACATCTAACCGCATATCCGTCCAAGCCCTTGCGGAATATTTAATGTTCAGGAGAGAGAGAGATGCGGACTAGTAGCCTGATGTGGTTCTACGGAATAAGGCACCCGCGGTCCTAACAGCTATTATTTTACCCCAAAATTTTACGCGCAATTACAGTTTTTAAATGCGCGCCATTGCCTGACCGACCTCAGTGACCTTTAGAGACTAGGAGGCCCATCTCTGACGAAAAACAAAACAACCAAAAAGATCTTCTGGTGTATAAATAATTTTTTGTTCACTTCTGAAAGGAATTGCAGGGTGCCTTTTCAACTCAGTCGGAGGTTCGTGCGGGGGAGGGGAGGGATGCCATTGACCCGGAGAACGTGAAAGAGAGGCACACACATATGGGGGGATCTGGCACGAGAACGAGGACAAACACACAGGAGAAACAAATGCGCACGTTCACAGGATTGTGAGTGGGGGAGAGGGGGGGCGGGGACTTGGGACCCCGTTAAGGGCATCCATGAGAAGAGATCGCTTAGTGACCGCTGCCAATGGATTGGCAAAACGAAAATGGTAAAAAATATTTACATGAAACATCTGTTTTGGCTTTTTGTGCGTTGACCACGGCAGAGTACGACAAAAATAACATACAAACGACGATAGACAAAGAAAAAGAAGGATAATGTCTGTGCGTTTGTGTGTGTGTGAGAGAGAAAGAGATCGCAACATGATAATGCCTGGAGAACATCCTTCGCCTCATCATCTTCGTGGTTCTCTTATTGCTTTTTTGTTCAGGAAGCGGGTATGGGGACGCAGGTGGTGGTAGGAGTTAAGCGGAGAAACGGTGGGAGCAGTCGCTAGACACGGCTGTGCGCTAGGCAGGCGGAAAACCGCTCCTCGTCGGTAATGCGCAGGGTTTGAGCCTGGAATATCTTGCCGTGCAGCTCTCGGGGTATGCGCTGAAGGGTCTTGGCGACGGTGGGGATTTTTTTGACGGCGCGCAGCCGGCAGGTGCCCGGTTTTGAGCCGTTTTGGCCAACCGAAACGCAAAGGGAGTAGCGGGAGAAACAGGGGGTTGCACTGTATATGTAACTGCAGAAATTGGGTTTTCCCACAGCAGCATCACCAGTGACAGAGGGCAGAAGCTGAAGGAAAAAAAATTGAAGTTGGCAAAAACCTGAATGAGTAGGGCGCTACGGAAATCTGTACCAGATAAACAAAACATAATGCGGCCTTAGTATAAACAAGGTTGTTTGGTCACTGTTAGGAGCAAACCTAACTGACTCGTTCGCTCGCCCACTCCCAAGCCGAGCTGATGACTTGTCCCACGCTGAACTATCGATCAGTCGTG